GACAGAAGGCAAAGAAAGTTGGAAAGACTAGCTAGCTAAGGTAGCTAGAATAGAACACCAGAACAGCAAAACAACAAAAAAAAGATCAAACTCATTTCAACTAATTTCAACTAACCATGTTCATACTAAAGCTTTTGATGCCTCGTTCAACTAATTTCAACTCATGTAAACTAATTTCAACAACAAAAAACGTAATTAATGACTCATTCTTGTTATTCTTTGTAAGCCGATCAAATGCATGTCAACTAATTACAGGGTTTAAACTAGATTTTGATGCTTCATGATGATTCTTCAAGCATCACCTATTACGCCTACTAAAATCATATAAACCCATCGTTAACCTGTACGATTAATGAAACCATATAAACCCTCATTTCAAAATCAAACAATAGGACTGTAGATCACAGATCCAGTATTAGGAAAGTCACAGACCGAGTATTAGGGAAATAAAAAACAGAAAAATAACCAAAAATCAAAAACAGACCGAGTATTATGAATAAATAACCAAAAATTACAAACCGAGTATTAGAGAAATCAAAAATAGAAAAAATAACCAAAAATTTCCATCATAATCACATACCAAATCAGATCTACTCGTTGGGAGAAATTATGAACAAATAATCCAAAAAACAGAAAAAATAACCAACTAAACACCTGGAGGAGGGCCATACCTCAGTTGATTTTGGGGGAGGAGGGCCGGAAATTCGCTGATGAAGAAAAAACCCTCAACAAATTCACGATCAGATCAAGCAACTTCAACGTGAGAGTGAGAAGAGATGCGCTCAAAACAGCAAATGTGGAGAGAAGATGAGAGGGAGATCAGCGATTTCGCAGAGGGAATGGGCGATTTCAGAGAGGAAATGGGATGAACTACGGTCGAGAAAATAAAAACGGAAAAAAATCGTTTTCAGAAACATGAGAATAAAGAAAAAATGAAAAGGGTGTTCTCAGTTTTGGTTTTGGAAAAATGGGTCACCAAACAACAATCTTCACAGCGTTTTCATTTTTGCTCCTCGGAAAACGTGAAAAATGTTTTCAAAAATGAAAACAAACATGCTCGTAATCTCTTTAAAAACTAAATTTATTAATTAAAACAAATGAGAAAAAAGTATTTAAAAAATCACGTGAATTATTCTGCAGTTTTTGACTCAAAAAAATAAGTATGGACATATTTAAAAAGAATTATCTAATCTAAAAGGAATTATCCATAAGAGAGAAGGAAAATATTAGAAATAAGAAAAAGTTAAAGAGTAAGAAATAAAAACAAAAAAGTAAAAAGGAGAGGTGGCTAAAAGGGAAGCAACTTTTTTGGGCAGTTTGGCATTGCTGTGCTTTTGAAAATTCATGTTGTTGTACTTGTGTTGTTAGTTAAAAGTTGTTCTCACCAGAAACATGTAGGTGTTTAGTAATTTTTTTTTTCAAAGTTGCTGTGAAAAACATTAGCCAAAATTTAAGTGTTTGGTAAACAATGTACAAAATCACTATGAAAATATATAATGACTAAAACAGACGTACTTTAATACACATACTTATAATTAGTTTTATTTCTATTTTTATAGTCATTAGTCATAATATTTATACACCAAAATATTAAAAAATATAATTTTCTTTTTATCAAAAAAATAAATTAGTTATATTCAATGAGATGAATTATATATCTAGAAAAAAATTGAATAACGTAAATAACTGAATGTAAATTACTTTTCAAACTTGCAACACTATAAAAAATATATATTATTAAAATTTAGCATAAGATATGTATTAAAGATTTCTAATTTTCATATAAACATTTAAAATAAAATATATACTTTAATTTGATTTGAAAGAAATAAAATAAGGTGATTGGGAATTAATTTTTATTATTATGATCATTTAGTAAATTTGGACAATGACAGAAGAAGTTATTGTGGAAAAGCAACCCATGACCTACTTCTCAGATTCTATTTTGGGGCAGCAGTTTTTAGAAGCTGTTGGGCAAAAGCAAGTTTTACTAAACACCTTGACTTTGTAGCCTCTTAAAAAAAGCTAAAAGCAGCCTTCAAAAGTGATGTCAAACGGACCACTCTTTTATATATGTTTAGACTAGTTAAAGGCGCGCATTTCTTGTAACTTTCTAAAATGAAAAATTTAAAATTCTTCTAAGGTTTAGTTTTACCAATTCACAATCGTTCTAATAGTTTAGCAAAAAAATTTTTTTTTTTTTTTTAAGTTTAATAGAGCACATTTAAAGGGAAAAAAGCTTTTAATAGAGAAAATTATAAAATAAATTATTTATAGAGTACATGTTCAAAAAGGTATTTAAAGGTTTGTATGAGAAAAACGTTTAAACAGAGGAAGACAGTTGAGAAGACATTATTGAGGGGAGTAATTAGGAAAAAATATTTACAAGATCATGGTTGGACAAAAAAATATTGACTATAAAAATATGATTATGTTATTGCCCGGAGTAAAGAGGCCAAATGAAAGAAAAAGAAACAGGGATATGCATGATAGATTCATATGTAGGAACATTCTTAAATACAGAACGACGGACCAAATGCACAGCCTCTAACAACATGACACGTAAGAGGGTAAAGTCAATTCACAAAACGTAAAACTCCCTAACAAAATAATAAAAATAATGCATTACTGAGAATAAGGAAAAGCAAGAAAAAAGAAAGAAAACGTAAGCAAGGAAAAGAGAGAAGAAAAAAAGAAGGTAGAAAAAAAGAGCTATGCGCTCGAATGTTCTTTGAAACACTGGTGATTATCGAGACTTCTTTTTTACTTTGTATAACCTATATTAGCCGCTTTGATCATAAACTAGTAAATCCAGATTTTGGGTGAAAAGTGGATCTTGTTTAATCGGTTCACAGTTTATATACCTATACGACAAGATTTATTTCAATAACAGCAATTTTTGAAAATAGATTTAATAAGGTAACGTAAAATCTACAAATAAAAAACGGGTAAAATGATCAAAATCATATTTCAACCTTACATGTATTTTGGTCAAATATTGTATACATGTGGAGAAAGTGTGAGTATATTTTGTGAAGATAATATATAATAAATAGATTAAAGATATTAAAGAAAAGTAAAAAAAAAAACAAAAGAATAAGAAAAAGTAGGAAAAGACGAAAAAAGAAGCATATACTTTACAAATGAAGGATGGTGTACTAAAAGGGTATTTGTTTCTATAGAAAAAAGTAAGTGGAGACCCATTTGCAAAACTATTTTAATACAAGCTATTAAGTAAGAAAAGGTATTTTGAAGAACATAACAAAAAGGAATAAAAATTTGATAAATCTTTTGGTAGGAAAAAGAGTTAAGGACTTATTTGAATGAAATTATTTTAATGGGATCAAAGTATGGAAAAAAATGTAATTCAAAGAAGCACATTGCAATTACTTTTTTGTTGAGGAGCTTTTGCCTAAAAAGAACAAAAAGGAAACAAAAGAAAGAACAAACCAGGAAAAAAAAAAGGAGCAAAAATAAAGTGGAATTGACACTTGACAAATGGAAGAGAATGCACAAAAAGGACTTTGTAACTCTTATGTAAATTGAAGATTACCTAAACGCCTTTTAATTTTATTTTTTGTATAACGCACGGGATGTTGGACACATCTGTGAAGATTAACGTAACTTTTTTTTAGGGATTTGGTTTATCCCTTTTTTTAGTTGAAATCATAGACATCATCTAGACAAAATCAAATTACATAAATCTCCCACTCTTTTAAAAACTACAGAAACACTTCTTTTGTTAGTAAACGAAAATCATGGTTTAAACATAAATATAACTAAAAATATTAAAAGCACCCTCGCTGCTTAAAGAACGTTTCTAACTACTGATGAAAAATAACGTTTTTATTTTTTTTAACTTAGAAATAAGATGAGATTAATTGTAACCATAACATTTGCTGTAATAGCATAAAAAATTAATTCCATTCTTCAAAATTTTCTTTTTAATCGTAATATTTTTGAACTGTCGAGAAGCATAATACATATTTTTTTTTTGTTTTTGAGAATTTAGACATAATTTTGTACAAAAATATGAAACTAATAATTTTTGAAACCTATAAAAGAATATTAAGCCACTAATGTTTGAAACCTATAGCTAAATGTAATAGGAGATCTAAAATTTTTTAGGCTTTTTTGTATGGAGACTCTCTCAACTTTCTGCGTTCAATAAATTAATATTTAAACTTTTAACGTTCACAGTTTACTCCTTAAACTTTAAAATTCCTTACAATGTTAGTCAAATTATAAACTAAGTTAAAAATTTAAGTGGTTTCTTTTTCATGTGAACATTTAATAAGACTAATTCTATATTTTTACATCGAATTGGTTCCCTTACACAAATTTGAATGAAAAAATTTTTAAAATTAGAAAACCCCTAAATTTTCTCCCAAAACAGTTAATCCCCAATTTTAAATAAGAAAAAAGAGCAAAGCACACTTAAAAAAATTAAAGAGTAAAAAATTCAAAAAGTAAAAAAATAAAAGAACAAAATATTTATTAAAAAAATAAAAAAGTAAAAAAATGAAGGGATTACCACGTGGCAGACTGGAAAGTGCTCTGTGAGAGCATTATAGAAAAAAAAGTGTAAAGATAACTTTTATATGATAAAAATTATACGAAAATAATTAAGCATGAACACATTTAAAGATAATTATATGCGCCATTGACAAAAAAATTAAATAGAAACACATGCAAAAAAAATTACTTTGATAGTAGTAAAGTGAGAAAAAAAATTAAAAAAAAAAACTTACGTAAACAATTAAAGTATAAAAAATTGGACAAAATTTAAAAAATAAAAAACAATTAAACGACAAAAATATTAGAGATATAAAAGTAAAGAAAGGGAAAAAAAAAAGACGGGAGAGGAGAAGAGGTTACCACGTGGCAACCCTTGAAAAGTGTATTATTACATGAGCTTTTGACACTACTATGTATTGTTAGATAAACTATAAAAAATGCACTAGACAAAAAAGAGCAAAGGATGTGTCTATTGACACCCATTTTTATTTTTTACACTCATTATTAAATCACTCGTCATTGTACTTGTTACACTTCTTCTAAAATTTTAAAAAAGTCCCTGCAACTAAATCATCACCAATTTTACTTTTTACACACATTCTTAAACCACCCAATATTCTACTTGTTACACCCGACAAGCTTAGGATAGTTGCTAAACTCTCTCTTGAATGATGATAAGTGTTGTATTAACTTTTCTGTAGCAGATGACAACACCAATAAACTCCACTTGTCCATTAATTTGTCACTCATCTCGTGTCTCAAACGTTTTCTTGGACTTACTTAACAAATCAATACCAATGTGCCATCTACATAGCAAATGTTTGGCAGTTGGAAATACATTCTCAATAGCATTCATAAGAGCCAAATCCCTATCTGTCATCACAATTACCTCGTGTAGAATATTTGATCTCAACCTTTGTAATGCCCATATAAAATTCTCTTCTCGCTCAGACCCAAGGCATGCAACAACAATTGAAAAGGTGATCAAATTAGCAGATATCACACTAACAATTTGTAACAAGGGAAAATGATACCTCGCTATTAGTCTTGTATGTGCAATCCATTAGCAAAACACATGGAAAAGCATGTAATAACTCTATACTAAGGGGATGTACCCATAGCAAGTCTTTGACAATATCAAAATTATAACAACTTCTCTGATATCCATTGCATTTGTGATCTTCCAACTTTTTCTGCAACTTTATACCTGTCACATACATTGTAAATTGTTTTTACCGTGCTACTGTTACGGGGATCCCTTTGCTTCAATGCTGGCAATATTTCTCTAGGCCAAGCTAAAGTTTTTGACATCTCTACTAACAACGAAATCTCATCTTTGCTCAATCTCTTGGCAAATGAGTGACCTAGATATGTCGCAGCTAAATGGTTGTGCACTCCACAAATAACCTCTAGTATCCAATCATCATCAGTATCTAATTTCTTCCCTTTTAACTAAAAAGGACAATTATACTTCTTTATGCCCGACATTCTTCACTTATCTGATTTGTTTTCACTTTTCTTATTTGTTCACTTTTTTCTTTCTTTCAATGTATTTTTCTCCTCTCTCACAAGCAAACATTATTCTTGATTTTTTGTGAGGCCCGCCCAAATCAGATGTCTTGACGACAATAATAAAACCTTTATTCCATCCAACTTCCCGAGTCCATTAAATTAAAGCATCTTTACTCTTAAATACTTGTACATAAATTTAGAAGCATTAACTAATGATTTTAAATATGTGTTCAAAAGAAGAAAAAAAACACTTCTAATATCTAACAATTATTTTACCTCTTAAGTAGTAAATTCAGTGGTATACTCATTTATGAACTAGGAAACAATGTTGTTCTCTTCAATAGATATTGAGATCTACAAAATTGTGAAAAAAGTTAGAAAATAAACTAAACTCATAATTACATGATGTCCCTTGTATAAAACAAATATCATACAAATATAATCCTTGACGACAAAACAACTAGAAAACCAAAAAATGCAACCGTAAAGATGTTGCATGAATGCCAGCAGAAAGTTTAATATTGCACGAATATCAAACACTATCATCATGCAGTATTTCCAGCAACAACAAAAAAAAAAAAAAAAAAACTTTCTCGCTCATAGTCATGCTGACATCCGGATACTCTTGCCCATTGCAGCATGTATAGACTATGAGATATAGCAAATGAATGTCAAGAGAGTTTCCTAGCTAACGGCAAAGAGCAGAAAATCTGCAAACTGAAATGGTTCATTTATGGACTAAAACAAGTTTCTAGCTCATGGAACATTAGGTTTGATGTTGCTATTAAGTCTTTTGGATTTGATCAAAGCGAGAATGAGCCATGTGTCTACAAGTTCAAGAAAGAAAAGAACGTGGATGATATTCTACTCATTGGGAATGATGTGAAAACCACGAAAGACGTAAAGATTATTTGAGATCTCAAGAACAAGCTGTTGGTGTTGTCTCAAGCATCGTATATTAACAAAGTGCTCATCAGGTTCTCGATGCAAAACTCCAAGAAAAAGAATCTACTTTCTCGGTATGGTATTCATTTTTCAAAGGAGCAATGTCCTTAGACTCTACAAGAGGAAGGGTATATGAGATAGTATCCATATGCATCTGCTATCAAGAGCCTCATATATGCCATGATGTGTACTAGGCCTTATATATATGGTGCAGTAGGAGTGATTAGTCGTTATCAGTCAAATCCGAAATTAGATCACTAGATATTGCTGTAGTGTATCCTCAAGTGTATAAGGAGAGCAAGAAGCTGAGGATAGTTTGGTCGGTGGAAAAGATGCTTTTCAATGGATAGACAGAATATGACTATGAGTCATATAGGAATTCTCAAATGTCGACATCTGAATCTATGTTCACACTACTAAAGGAGCCGTGGTATAGAAAATTATTGACAAAGTGTGATTACTAATTCCACCATTAAGGCTTAATGTATTGCAGCTTGTGAAGCAATAAAGAAAAGTAACTTGGCTCTGAAAATTCTTGATGGATCTAGAAGTTGTTGCATGAATAGATCGATCAACTTGGCTTAATCCGTTCCGTCGACTGACCGACGCAGAACTACAGGTAAAGCGAGACAAAGGACTGTGTTACCGATGCGATGGCAAGTACTCCATTGGGCATCGTGCCCCAACAAGGAGCTGCAAGTCTTCATGGTGAGTGGAGAAGAGACCGACGGAGAGAAACCCGGCGAGTAGACAGCGGAGGCGTGGGAGGCTGCCCTGGCCGACGATTCGGTGGAGCTATCCTTGAGCTCTGTAGTGGGGTTGACCACACCCCGAACGATGAAGCTCAAGGGGCGGGTTAAGGGGGAAGAGGTGGTGATCCTTATCGATAATGGGGCAAGTCAGAATTTCATCTCCATGGATTTAGTCAAGAGATTGGGATTGAGGCTGGATACCACGGGGGGATATGGGGTAGTGATGGGTACCGGCCTTACGGTAAAAGGGGAAGGAGTGTGTCGGAGTGTGGCTGTGACTGTGCAAGATGTGGAGATTGTGGAGGACTTTCTTCCGTTGGAGTTGGGCAGCGCCGATGTGATCCTGGGTATGCAGTGGCTGGAGACTCGGCGCCGTGGCGGTTAACTGGCGAGCGCTCTCGATGAAGTTCAAGATCGGCGAGACGTCGGTTCTGTTGCAAGGGGATCCCAGCCTTTGTAAGGCTCCGGTGTCTCTAAAAACCATGATGCGTGCCTTAAAACGGGAAGGACAGGGGTTCTGGGTGGAACTGGGAATGATTTCCAATGGAACCTAAACCGGGGGCTATGGCAGAGGTCCTAGTACCGACCGCTCTGCAAGCTGTGTTACATCGGAACGCTGCGGTTTTCTGGATGCCGACCAGCCTTCCACCGCCGAGACTACGGGACCACTCTATTCCGCTAAAGGCAAGGACCTCCCCAATTAACGTCCGTCCCTACCGGTATCCACAGGCGCAAAAGGACGAGATAGAGAGGCTGGTGGCGGAGATGCTCGCTGCAAGGATCATCCAACCTAGCGCTAGCCCTTTCTCTAGCTCGGTACTCCTTGTCAAGAAAAAGGATGGGAGTTGGAGGTTTTGCGTCAATTATCGGGCTTTAAACCGCGAGACCGTACCAGATCGTTTTCCAATTCCGGTGATTGATGAGCTTCTCGACGAATTGCACGGAGCCACCATTTTTTCGAAGATCAATTTAAAGTCGAGCTACCATCAAATTCGGGTGCGCAGAGAAGATGTACCCAAGATAGCATTTCTCACCCACGAGGGACATTACGAAGCCCCACCAATGCGCCTGCTACGTTTCAGTCGCTCATGAATGAGGTATTTCGACCGTTCCTCCGGAAGTTTGTTTTAGTTTTCTTTGATGATATATTGGTGTATAGTCAATCGTTGGAAGAGCATGTCGCGCACTTAGAGATAGTGATATGGCTGAACTCACCAAGCACAGCTTATATGCCAATGCCAAAAAATGTTGTTTCGGGCAGGCCACTTTGGCATACTTAGGCCATATCATTTCGAAAGACAGAGTGTCTGCAGATCAAACCAAGATCGCGGCCATGATTAACTGGCCAATACCTACTAATTTACGGGAGCTAAGGGGTTTTTTGGGTCTAACGGGCTACTACCGGAAGTTTGTTAAGGGGTATGGCTCCATTGCCTGGCCACTCACAAACTTGCTCAAGAAGGATAGTTTCTTGTGGTTGACAGAAGCAGAGAATGCTTTCCACAAACTCAAGGCAGCCATGACTTCAGTGCCCGTGTTGGCACTACCAGATTTCTCGCGTGAGTTTGTAGTGGAAACAGATGCGTCGGGGGTAGGGGTTGGAGCGGTACTGATGCAGGATCAGCGGCCGATTGCTTTTTTTTTTTGCCAAGCTCTGTCCAATGCAGCACGTCTTAAGTCCGTTTACGAGCGCGAGCTTATGGCCATTGTACTAGCAGTCTAAAAGTGGCGTCCCTACCTCATCGGGAGGCATTTCACAGACCAACACAGCCTGAAGTATCTAATGGACCAGCGAGTAGTCGGCAAAAACCATCAACGTTGGGTGTCCAAACTCCTAGGATTCGACTTTGGGATCCAATATCGACCTGGAGAATAAGGCTGTAGATGCTCTCTCCCGCATGCCGACGTTAGCTGAATTCCAGCTCCTGTCAGCCTCTTCGAGCGCTCGCATGATTGAGCTTGATTCGGACCGACAAAACGAAGCGGATACCAAACTCTCTCGCATGATTGAGGAACTCCAAGCCGATTCAAGCACTCACCTGGGATTCTCCTTGCAGCAGGGGCGGCTCATGAAAGAAGGACGACTTGTTATCTCACGGGACTCGCGCCTGCTAATCTATTACAAACATATCGCGCCTAGAGCATACTCAAGACTTACCGTCATTTGGCAGCATACTGGTATTGGTTCGGTATAAGGGACATCGAGGCTTACGTGGCAAAGTGTTCCATCTGTCAACAGAATAAATATGACATTTTAGCCCCAGGTGGATTACTGCAGCCCCTGCCCCTGCCAGACAAGGTGTGGGATGATCTCTCAATGGGCTTTATTGAAGGGCTGCCCAAGTCAGCAGGTTATGATGCCATCCTAGTCGTGGTCGACCGCCTGAGCAAGTATGCTCATTTCATTCCGCTCAAACACCCATTCACTACGCCGGTGGTGGCGGATGAGTTCCTTCGGGGAGTGGTAAGACTGCACGGTATTCCCCGCACTATTGTGTCCGACTGTGATAGAATTTTTCTGAGCAAATTCTGGACGGAGCTGTTCAAACATCAGGGCTCCATCTTGGCTCGGAGCACCGCCTATCACCCCCAAACGGACAGACAAACAGAGTCCGTTAACCGGTCTTGAGACCTACCTGCGGTGTTTTTCTTCAGATGCACCACGCCAATGGTCGAAGTGGCTATCGTGGGCTGAATACTAGTATAATACTTCTTTCCACACCGCCACTCGAATGACCCCTTTTCGCGCACTCTACGGCCGTGATCCCCTCCACTGGTGCGTTATGGACTAGGGCTATCTCCGGTGGCCACAATAGACCAGCAGCTAGCAGACCGGGATGCTACCTTGGACTTACTGAAGCATCAACTACAGCGAGCGCAACAAAAGATGAAAGCATAGGCGGATGGTTGTTGCCGGGACATTACATTTGAGGTAGGGAACTTGGTGTACCTCAAGCTCCGGCCCTACCGACAGAAGTCATTGGCGCAACGTCGAAATGAGAAGCTTGCACCCCACTATTACGGCCCATTTGAAGTGCTCGCCCGAATAGGCTGGGTTGCCTACCATTTGAAGCTTCCAAAATCTTGTGCCATACACCCCGTTTTCCACGTGTCTCAGTTGCGACGGGCCGTAGGCTCTACTATTTCGGATGCTGTGTTGCCACCACAACTTACGCCGGATATGGAACTTCAGGTTAGGCCCTCTGCCCTGAGAGGAGTCCACCAAGCTTCTCGGGGGTCTACTTCAAAGCTCGAGGTGCTCATACATTGGGAAACACTGCCAGACCATGAGGATAGCTAGGAAAGTTTTGACCGCATAAAAGCCGCTTTTCCGGATTTCCACCTTGCAGACAAGGTGCATCTTTGGGCCGGGGATATTGATGGAACCCCTAGACCCCCAATACATTTTTACCTACACGAGGAGGAGGCCCAAAGGATGCCAAGTTGATGTGGCAGCAAGGAATGACGTGGCAGTTACTGAGGTGGAGCCTGTGACTGAGAAAGAGGTTGCTGATATGGAAGTATTGCACCAAGCTGGTGCACTAGCTGCTGAAGAAAGGGCGTGAGGGCGCACATCCCGAGGAGAGCCTCGAAAGAAGAGAAGGAAGAAAGTGAGTCGGTTAGTTAGAGGGTAGAGAATAAGGCAGTAGGGGAGGAAAGGAGAGGGCATCGATCATCTTCTTGTAACTGTCATAGTCGAGCTTTTAGCTCTAGGGAGTGCAAAGGGGCATCGATCATCTTGTATTTCCTTCAATATTGACAATTTGAATCAATCCATTACAGAGTTTCTTTCCAATTACGTGCTTGCTGAATCTTTGTCCTACTTGATACTTGAGTCTTAACAAACTCCCGCAAAACACCAACGAAATGTTTCGCAAAACATTTTGTTGGCTATCCCCCATAAACTTGCCTTTTATCTATGGAAGGATAAGAGGCCAAAAAATATGAAAGCATGAAAAAGAGAAATTTACCAAACGTGGATTTCGTGCGAGAAAGCCTAACGACAACATTGGGATCCCTCATTAAACCTTCCTTTACACATACGCATTTGACCATGCATCAACAAATTTGTGACGAAGCTGCACCATAATACTGTCAATTGTTTTTACCAGTAGCAAACAAAACAAATTACAACTAACATACAATATAAGTCTAAAGCTAGTCACTTCAAGCAGGGTGGTACTGAGTTCCTACTGCTAGGAACCAAGATCATATACCTATGCAAACCAGCCAACAAAGTGAGTCTACCGAGGACAACAGCCAAATCAGGCAGGCTTCATTGAAATTTCCAACCATAATTGGTATGCCGTAATGTCATTGTTTCATAAGAAGTCCTATCCGCATAAGACATTGTTAGGGATTTGAGGGGAAATTTGGCTGGAGAGAAACCGAAGAATTCTTAAAAGAAGTAATCAGGAGGATATACATGTAAAATGGGATAGGATTAAAATCAACATTGCGTTTTGGATTCACTCCAATATATAGGCTTCTGGCTAGTTCCTCGACGAAGTTTTTGTTTCCTCTGTTCTTGTAAATGTTCTATCTCATTCATTTATAAAAATTTTAAATAAGGGTCACATAAAAATAAAAAATAAAAGTTCACAATCCAAACAGATTCTAACACTGAAAAATTGGAGGCGCTTGCGCAAAAAATTTATGGCAATAACAAACCTCAATAGCAACTAAATAGTAGCAGATTGCAACATCAATATTGTCTTTCTCCTGAGGAAAAAACATAGAAACAACGACTATTAGACTCTTCGGAGGCTGAATACTTGTCTGTGGAAACCATCAAAGATGTTAAATACACCTTCCAAGAATTTGCCATATTTCCATAGCACTCAGCAAAGTGTGGCTCAATTTGAAGAGCTCTTCATCAGATGCATGAAACGTGAAATGCTCAGAAACAACTTGACGAGAGTACTAATTTCTAAGCTTAAATGAATACTAAGCCATATTAAAAACTTCTGAAACAACTTGATAATGGATAGTACCCAAGAGAAGGATATTACCTGTGCGCCGGGGGTTTCTTTCATAAACAACACTGCTGTGCTCTAGTGCTTGCTTATAGTTTCCAGGCCTATACTTCTGATGAGCAAGAGCCATGAGCATGTCTTCATTAAATGCATAATAGGAAAAGGCAAAAATTTAGTACTAAAATTATAAGTCATAGTTTCTTCAAATCAAGTTTAATGAAGTTCCATAGCAAAAAAAAAAAAAAAAACAAAGCAATGAATAATAAGCTCCACTTCGCTCCTTAATTCAACACAAATTTGTTATGTCCGACGCATTAACCAATACTAAATAACTAATTTCTACAGCACACAAAACCCATTTAGGCAAAAGAAAAACTAATAAAGAACAAGAAAAGGATTAAAAGAACAAGGTAATAAAGCTTGTCTCTCTGTTTTTGGACCCAGGCCGCCCTTTTGCTTGAAGGGAAAGCAAATTTGGTAAACATCCAAAGTGAAGTCAAATAAAGTGGAAAGGAAATAAAAACAATAACTGCTAGAAGTTATCTGTGAATACAGTATAAGACTGGATCAATTATAAATACACAATATTGTATCCTGATTCCAATTCATTTGGGGGGAAGAAAAGATTAACTTACAGAAACAGATGGAAATAAAGTTGATTCCAAACGTGATACAAAATTGATATGAATAGTGTATTCTTTTTTGTTAAACAGATTTTATTTTCATACAAGTGTTCAGAGAAGGGAAGGCACTTTTGGCAACAATTTTCTGAATGGAAGCATAAAATTAGAATTAATTCCAATGAGGTAGTAAAAAGGTAAATGGTACAAATGTAGAATGAAATGTAAACTTCGTCACAATGTTTAGGCTAAATTAGCACAATCTAAAGCTCCTGTATAATGCGAGCAATATGGAATTATTAGTTTTTTTACAAGAAATAACCTTATATTTATAAAAAAAATAAAATAAAAATAAAATAAAATAAGTCAGATACAAGGATGGGTACAAGAAGTTCACCAAAGACAGCACCATATTTCCATTATGGAACATTTATTACCTTCCACCATATATACAATACAATATCATGTTTTGAAAGACACCATAGAAAGCAACGCCAGCACAAGCACCTTGCTTTTTTTTTTTCCTCTCCCTCTCTCTGTAAACATTCACCTCCATCTATAAGATTGACTTTTACGTTGAAAGCTTAAAAACTTTTTTTTTTCTTTTTCATTTTCTACCAAGAGTGTCAATCTCAACACCTAAATCTCAAGTTACCAACTCATATTCTTGCCACTGTTCAATCATTTTTTCATGGATGTCCCAATTCCAAGTAATAATTGTTGACAACTAAGCTTTAGAGCCACCGTCCTTGTGTTACAAAATTCACATAAATGTCAACAAAAATTAATTTTTGGAAAAATAATCTACACAGACAAACACAGGCTAAGATAACCAATGTTAGTCCCTTTTTTCTTTTTCTCATGCCACAGAATCACAAGAACAGTAATATGAGATCGAGTTTCGTCATTTTGAATTAATTTTACAGCCACATCAAGAAAATTACTTCCTTTTATTACATAGATTGTAAACTGTGTATTAGAAGAATGGTCATTACAGAATTTTGAAGCCATTACAAAATTATAAGTATTATTTTCATTAATATTATAATGATTTTCCATTTCCTCATCACTCAAGTTGAAATAGTAATCGTAAACACAGATAGAAATAAACTTTGTGTCAAATTGCCATACCTGAGTAAGATAATAAGGAACGAGGTCTGTAGCAACAAATTGGAGAAGGTCAACTGTTTAGAGATACCTTAAAGAAGAATAAGAAAGCAACGATATACAAAAATACAGAATGATGCATAGGACAAGAGAAGGAGAAACAACAACAACAGAATGAGAAAGAAAGAAAGGTTAAAACAAACAACCTGAAAGCTGCAACAGAGCAAGAACAAAACAAACAACCTGAAAGCTGCAACAGAGAAAGAACAAAGCTAACACATCAGAACAAAAGAAAAATAAAAAATAAAAATAAAAATAACAAATAACAAATAAAAATAAAAAATAAAAATAAAAAATAAAAAATAAAAAATAAAAAGAAAAACAATTAAATATGAAAACCCATCAACACCGACAATCCAAAGAAGATAGAAAAGGAGGGTACCTGCTGCTTGGCTCGGATCGTAAACTGGATGATTTCATTTTTCTCCCTTTTCTTTCTTTTTCAAGGTGGGGGGGTTAATAAAAAAAAAACAACGGTTTGCCAAACAGTTAATAATCAAAAGTAGAGTAATCCTCTTCCAAAACAAACGTAACGTAATAAAGTATAATAACACAATAACCAAAATCAGTAAAATAACAAATATCCAAAAACGCAAACAACGTTATTTTCCTTTCATAACTGAAAGCAGTAAACAATCAAATGGTTTAAAACACCAAAATGAAGAGTCCTTCCCCCAATGTAACCAAAGAAGCAATTAATCGGTATGCAAAATCAGAATTGTATAGTTTGTTTACTCCAAACAACCAAAATGTAATGTAATATGTAATTAGAACATGCAATAATGCATGCCAAGAAATCTCAAACTGGAACAGTAAATCGAATATAGGAAAAAAGGTTAAGTAATGTACTATAAATAACTTTTAATTGGAGATAAATAAGACCAAAACAATGATAAGATAAAGAAAAGTATCTAACTTCTAAGACTCAAACAAAAGCAGAAACAATCAGCCTTTTTTTCCCAATGTCAGTCCTTTTTTCCCTCCTGCTACAGAATCACAAGAGCAGTAATATTTGAATATTTTTATCAATGCCAACCATGGCCATGATTGACGCCAGGAAACCACATGTGTTGACTTTTTTGCTGTCATAATTTCCCAAATCTCAAAAGGAACCCTAAAAACCAAACTAGGGAAAATAACCACAACATCGGACAATGCAACCGAACAATCAGTGAATTCAATTAAAGGTGCAATATTTTCCAGAAAGAGTATGAGAATGAACAAGCGAAACTATCCCTATAACCAATTAGTCGAAAAATAAAACAATTAGAAACAAAAATTCCACAAAACAATGAGAGTTCGAAAGCCTACAAATAACAAAATCAAACTCCAACAGACCATCACAGTCAACATTGCTCCAAAACCCCCAACGACAAAGCATCGGACACGTGAAAACCAAACCGAACTCGATCAGAAGTATAAGGAACAGGAAAAAAAAAAAAACCCCAGTAACCTTCGTGAGAATCCGAGGGCTGGGAGTGCTTGATAC